TGGTAGTCCAGGCTGGCCTCGAACTCACAGAGATCCACCTGGCTCTGCCTCCCGAGTGCTGGGATTAAAGGCGTGCGCCACCACCGCCCGGCCTATAGAAATTTTTTTAGTGATTTGAAATTTTTAAATTTAAAGATTATATTGTTAAAGTGTTATAAAACAGCATTTTTTGGTCTTTTGTAGACACTTTTGTAGAAAGGATTGTTCTTAAAATTTTCTTCCAGTTCCCTGAAGTTTGAAATATACATCTCCATTTTAAAAAACGTGTAACTTGCAGAGTGCTGGTGACACATGCCTTTAATCCCAGCACTCAGGAGGCAAGTGCAGCTAGATCTCTGAATTCAAGGCTAGCCTGGTTTATAGAGCGAGTTCCAGGACAGCCAGGGCTGTTACACAGAGAAACCCTGTCTCGAACACCAAACCAAAATCCTATTACTCTAAGTTTGATGAGTTGGCAGCAATCTCCTGCTGTCACCCTGACTTACTGCATGAGTATAACCATACTGAGTGGTTGTATAGTGACATTAAGAGCTGCTTTCCTCACCCCCCCCCCCCCCGCCATGTTCAGCAATCAAATTAAGCAGACATGCTGTATTTACAATTAAATTTGAATTAAAATACCAGTGTAAGGTTTTTTTGTTTTGTTTGTTTTTTTGAGGGGGAGGGTGTTTTGTTTTTATTTTTTTTGAGACAGTCTTCATGTAAGCCAAGCAAGCCTTGAATTCACAGAGATCTACCTGCCTCTCCTTCCTGTGGTGGCACACACCTTTAATCCCAGCACTTGGGAGGTACGTGGTGCCATTCTAAAGAGACGTCCTGAGCACCCTCATATTTTGGTGTTAGGGTGATTAATGAGTTATTAAAGGTGTAGTGTTACTTCTAATGCTTGTTTCCTTTTGTTTTAGGCAAAGGGTTCAAATAGTTTACCTCTGCTGAGATCTGTCTTGGATAAATTAAGTGCTAACCAACAAAATATCCTGAAGTTCATTGCTTGCAATGAAATATTCTTGATGCCTGCTACAGTTTTTATGCTCTTTAGGTAAGAACTCAGACATGCTTGTTTTGAAGATTGACAAGTGAACAGAAAGATAGTCACTTAGATTGCATTCTGCTTGAATCAGAAGTGCAGCATGTACCCTCAGGTAGAACATTCCAGATGCTCTAGTAGAAGCATTGCACCATGGGAGAACCAGGTGCAAATGCTTTAACAGGCTTTGGAAATCATTTTTCTTTGACATTTTCATGCATGTGCATATTGAGTGATGGTCATTTTTACCTTCTCATGGCCCCATTACTCTCTCACCTTCTCTTTTCTCTTGTTGAAATCTTTCTTCCCTAGAAGCTCCCCATGCTTAGATGTCTTTTTTGATTATTAATTAAATTTATTTGTTGACAATTTAATACATGTATGTAGTGCATGTAGTTATTCTCCCCACCCACTTATTTTCCTTTTATCCTTCCTTTTCAATCCCTATTCCTTCTTACAAGTCCTTTTCCTATAGTATGTTTTTTTGTTATCCACTGTATTAAATCAGGGCCATCTGTGTGACCAGGGTGTGGAACTATCCATGGCAGCCTGGTGGGCTCACCAGTGAGTGTAGAACTGAAGACAGGGACTCCTCTTTCCCCAGTATCCATGAATAGCCCTGGGACAGGAAATTTGTCTTTACACCCGTGAAACATCATTTAACCCTTGGAGATTAATTTTTGATTTTTGAAAATTAATTTAAAAAATACTACACATAGAAGAGTCTTCTGCCTTAGTGAGGGTTACTATTGCTGTGATAAAACACCATGACTAAAGCAACCTGGGGAGGAAAGGAATCGTTTGGCTTATGAGTCCATATCCCAGTTCATCATCAAATGAAGTCAGGGCAGAAACTCCTAACATGGCAGGAACCTAGAGGCAAGAGCTGATGTAGAGGCCATGGAGGGTGCTGCTTACTGCCTTGCTCCTTCTGGCTTGCTCAGCCTGCTTTCTCATAGAACCCAGGACCACCAGTCCATGGTGGCTCCTCCCACAGTGAACTTCCTGCATTGATCACTAATTAAAAAAGTACCCTACAGGCTTGCCTGCAGCTCGATCTTTGGAGGCATTTTCTCAACTACGGTTCCCTGCTCTCAGATTACTACAGTGTGTGTCAGTTGACATAAAACTAGCCAGCAGAGCCGGGCGTTGGTGGCGCACGCCTTTAATCCCAGCACTCGGGAGGCAGAGACAGGCGGATCTCTGTGAGTTCGAGGCCAGCCTGGGCTACCAAGTGAGCTCCAGGAAAGGCGCAAAGCTACACAGAGAAACCCTGTCTCGAAAAACCAAAAAAAAAAAAACAAAAAAAAAAAAAAAAAAAAAAAAAAAAAAAAAAAAAAAAAAAAAAAAACAAAACTAGCCAGCAGAGTCGTGAAGTCTAATTCAGCTCATTCTTGCCTTTTTTGAGGTGGTATAAGGAGACGTTTTAAAAGATAGTCTTACAGTAACAATTGCCTACAGTTGTTTCCATATTTTGTTTGTAATCTGGAAATAATAGAGAAAACTTCTTTTGAGAGGTAGACTATCACAGCAGTGTTAGTCTCTCCATTGGTAATTTTGCATTTCATTTTAATCATGTACATATCTACCTGGATGCTTGCTTTTAAATTTTAGTTTTATAGATAAGCTAATAGGGGTATCTAATCTATTGGCTTCTCTGGGCTATGTTGTCATCAATGAAGTTCATGACGGAGCAAAGGAAAAAAAACCTTCCACAATATTTTAAATAAGGTTACTATTTTATGTTGGACTGGATTTTTAGCTGTGTTGTGCCTCATATGGCCTCACAGGCTCCAGGTTGGACACACTTCCCTTCTAAAAGAGTAGTTTATGATGATTTCTAGTTGTGGTTCTGTGTTCTCTGTTCAAGAGTAAGCAGTTCAATATGTGTGCATTTGTAATCCATTTAGAAAATACATAGCTGGTCGAGGTGGTGCCTGCCTTAAATCCCAGCTCTTGAGAGACAGAGGCAGGTGGATCTTTGTGAGTTTGAGGCCAGGCTGGTCTGCTGAATGAGATCCAGGACAGCCAGGGCTACACAGAGAAACCCTATGTTGAGAGAGAGAGAGAGAGAGAGAGAGAGAGAGAGAGAGAGAGAGAGAGAAGAGGAGGAAAATATATCTGTAGAAAGTATAGTTTGTGGGTGTAGCTTTATTTGCTTATTATATTTACTGAGTGCCATAGTTGCCATAATGCATGAATTTTTAGAGTTAATGTTTTTTTTTTTTAATTTTATTTATAGTTTATGTGTGAGTGCTATACATATATACTTGCATACCAAAAGAGGGCATTGGATCCTATTATAGATGGTTGTGAGCCACCATGTGGGTACTAGGAATTGAACTCAGGACCTCTGGAAGAGCAACTAGTGTTCTTAACCGCTGAGCCATCTCTCCAGTCTTGTTTGTTTCTTTTAATGGTTATTCATTTGTTCTGTTGAATTAGTATGTTCCATTTTATTACGTTTTTAGTTTTCCAAATATTGATGCAGTAGACACCTTTCTTAGTTTGCTTATATCTGTATACGAACAATGGTTTCTTTAACATAGATATCAGAATTAATTTTTCTATGTTTAAGTGCACTTTTGTGTTTAATAGACCATGTCAAAATGTTCTTTAAAATGTCTGTGTGTTTGTCTAGGCCCAGGCCTGTAATCCCAGCATTGGGAAAGCTAATGCAAGAGATTTTAAGTGCTAGGCCAGCTTAGGCTGCATAGTAAGACTCTTGTCTAGGAAAAAAGTTTATATACTTGTTTTTCATTGTACAAGTTATTGTTACTGAGTGTAAAACTTTATATTTTTTAGTCTTTGTTGACTGATCAATGAGGTTTTTATATGCCTGACAGTTGGTTTTAGTTTTAGTTTTTTCTTTCCTGTACTAAGGATTGAACTCAGGTCCTGGCACTTCTTCGTAAGCACTCTGCTATTGAACTGTGTACTACTCTCAGTCAAGTTTTACATTTTTTCCCTCTTATTTTGAAACAAGGGCTCACTAAATTGCCTAGGCTGGCCTTGGATTTCTAATCCTGCGTCCTCCTCCTGAGTTTCTTTTTTCTTGTTTTGTTTTTTTCCAGACAGGATTTCTCTGTGTAGCCCTGGCATCCTGAAACTCACTTTGTAGACCGGGCTGTCCTTGCACTCACAGAGATCTACCTGCCTCTTCTTCCCTGCTGGGATCAAAGGTGTGCACCACCGTACCTAGCTGTGAAAATGTTTTAAATAGGTTTTCTGGACCTGGACTGCAGTTGATAAGACTTTTAACTTGTTTCTGAGCCTTGAATTTTTCTCATTTAAAAGGAAATATTGCCTGGCATATGAAAGGCTTTGTGTTTAACCTCTAGCACTGGAACAAAGTAGTAATTGAAACAGATAAATAGTGAAGATCCATTTCCTAAATGTTGATTATAGGATTCGATGCAGCTCTGCTTGTAAATTATTCAGCTCTAAAGCTTACACGCTAAAGTTTAGCATACTAACATGAAACCTAATTTTAGAATTATAGTAGGTTTTTACTTTATTGATCCTTAACTCAATTGAGCTCATTAAGACATTTATTTAACACTGTGGACAAAGTTGTTATTTAATTTTCAAGAGTAGAGTTTATCAGAAATACATTTAAAGATCATTTTTTCACTAGAATTTATTTCTTTAACAAACGTGTGTGTGTGTGTGTGTGTGTGTGTGTGTGTGTGTGTGTGTGTATAGATACCAGAGGTTGACATTAGTTGTCTTCCACTATCACTCTCCAGACTCTCTCTGAACTGAGAGTTCACCATTTGCCTGCTCTGGCTAATCAGCAAGGCCCTGGCATGTGAACTCCTGTTCTCAGGCATGTGTGCAGGCACTTTAGCTACCCAGTCATCTCCCTAGTCTGCAGCTCGACACTCAGCTTGTCTGTATTCCTCTTCCTCCTAGCTTCTGGTGATTACTGTTTTATTCTTCCTTGAAACAGCTTTGCTAGCAACTGCATTTGAGTGAGTGTTTAATTTTTCTATCTCAGGTTTATGTACTTTTATGTGTGTGATTGTTCAGCCTGCATGCATATGTACTGTGTGCATGCCTGGTGCCCACAGAGGCCAGGAGAGGTCCTGGAACTGGACTTAGGGATAGTGGTGAGCTGCCACGTGGCTTCAGAAGCCAGACCTGCATGTTCTACAAGAGTAGGAACTGCTAACTGTTGAGTCCTCCTCCAGCCCCACACTTGTCACTTCCAGTTCCGTCCATTATTTTCCCACTATAAATGATAGTGTCTCGTCCTTTTAAGACTGGTTAGCATTCAACCGTGTATGAATACTTGGGAATATGTAGCACGTGTCTTTATTCATTCCTCTGCTGATAGATATTTCAGTTGATTCCATATTTTGGCTGTTGTGAGTAGTGATGAAGTAAACATGGAGTGCATAGATCACATTGATAGTACTGATTTCATTTCCTTTGGATACTTGCTTAGAAGAGGAATAGTTGGATCATGAGGTAGTTACATTATTTGTTCATTCCCGTTTTCCATAATGTTTGTACTACTTTACATTGCCACCACTCATGCATACTTTTTCCCCCTACATCCTCATCCGTGCTGGCTCTTTTTTTTTCTTATTTTCATAATTGTTCTTCTAAATGGATGAATCTGTAAGCTGCTTTGAGTAACATGTTTTAATATTTTTTATGCATAAACAAGGGAGATTTTTCTGGTTTTGTATTTATTGGTTTTCATATAATTTTAATTACTTTAATGAATTAAAATCATTTTATGAAGTTTATTTGTTTTGTCTTTGGGGATCAAGCCCACAGCTTCGACACATGCTAGACAAGTGTTCTACCACTGAGCTATGTCCTCAACCTTCCATGTGCAATAGTATATTGTGTATAGAATACTTAATGCTTTAAGTGTGTGACTTAATATAACCCAAACTATAAAATTAAAGGACTCGTGCTCTCACTAGTCTTTCTGTGCTCCCTCCCTTCATAGCAGATGCACTATCTGATTAGTAGAGGCTCTATTACTTAGAGCTCTGTATTGAACGATAAACCTACGTTCTTGACTTGACCTCACATGTGCATGCACAGATGTGCAGAGACAGATGGTCATTGGAAGTTTGTTTACTTCTCTGCTTCTTTTCTTACATTTTCTTCAGTTCCTCTCTTCCCTTCTCCCTCCCTTTCTGCTTCCCTACTTTTCCTCCCTCCCCTCCATGTTTTAGATTTTTGAGACAAGGCCTTGTTTTGTAGCCCGGGCTCATCTTGAGGCAGTCCTCCCACTTCTACTTTTTGAGTACTAGGATGCTGAGACATAAGCACCCTGTTGTGGTTTTTGTTTGTTTTGAGGGAGTTTAGTACTCCAAACAGAATCCTCAGGTGCTTACAGGAAGTTTTGCGGGGTAAGCAGAAACTGCAAGCTACACCCTCAGCTATAGCTTTATTTCTTATTGTATCCTAGAGCCACCCTAAGCATTCAAACGAGGGAGGCTTGGTAGTCATAGTAGGAACATAAGATAGAATGCTTGAAGTTGTAAAAGGAACTGGATGGTTTGCATGTTATATTCATATTACATGTTAATAGAAGTTAAAGTTGGTCAACAAGATATAAGGTGTTCCTCATTTATATTTTTTGGGTATGTGAAAGGACAGTACATGCTGTTTTGTCTCACATTCATAGTAGTGTTACACTCTAGAGCAGTAAATAGTGAGCTATTACACGATGAGCACTGTGTTAGTGTTAGTCATTTTGTTGTACACTTGTGTGCATGTTCCTAGAAGAATAGATTAAGGGGAGTGTTTTGTGAATTTCATCAGAGACTAACTTGGATGGTGGGAAACTGGGTTTTCAGTGAACGTTTTCTATATTTTCATTGTTAAATATTTGTTTATTTTTTTATTTTTTTTTATTTATTTTTTTTTATTTTTTTTTTTTAAA